AAATAGAAATTTAATTTGCAGGTGTTAATATTGGCACGCTCAAAATGACGAATTGATTTGCAAAACAATTTGATGAAACCAATGTTTTATTTAAAATTGTAGCTTATAAGCGAACAAAGCGAGTTTTTCTTCTTCTTTTTTGCTATGGAATTAGAAATTCTTCTGTAAATTTGCCTTTAAGATAGAGTGAAATAAGAATCCCTAAAGAAAGCCCAAACGCGGCAAAATTGAAAATGTTGCAGCCCACAGATATATCTTTTGTTACTAAATAGCCTTTCATTTATTGTAATTAACCTGAAAAAATAACGTTTTCTTGCAATAAAAACTGTCACAATGTACTTTAATTAGAACAACTTGAATTGGAAGACACCTTTGACAATAAAAGGCTTTTTACCTATAAATTGGGTGTGTTCCATTGAAAAAAAAATCAAGCATATAATTTTGCTAATTTACACCATGCTGCATTTTTTCTTTCACAATATATTCAAATTCGTAAAAAATTCACTAAAAGTCAATATGTGTTGTACCTTCGTGCTCTTACACAAAAAGACAACAACGAAATGATATCGTAGAAAGTATTTCTAAATGTTCGCATGTCGATTTATATTACCTTATACTTACCATTAACATTCTGTTTTATTTTAAATTTAAAGTCTCTTAGAATCTTCAACTTTCATACGCACATACAAGTATATCAACTTATGGAACAAATGGTATCTATATATACGCGACCTTTCTAAGCTGTTATATTAAATATCAGAAATAACGACAAGTTGTTTACTATAATTAGGTGTAAACAGCTGTTCGTTCTTTCCACGTAAAAAGAACATATAGCTAATTGATAAACCATTACAAAGACATGTTTTTATTAAGGAATTTGATTGGTTTTTTTACCGAAGCATGGAATTCAAAGATTTCGAATATTGATATTGACGGTTTTTGTCCCAGGCCAAAGTTTAATAAGAAAGCTAAACGTTATAGCGGAGGTGTTATGATCTATTATAAATCAATATACAGTCAAACGTGTATTAAGCGACCGCACAAGGGAAACACCCAAAACATGTATTACAAGAAAATTGAACTAGTACGTATTAACCATAATTGTATTGTGAGGATTAAGCTACTTAAACAATATTTTGGAGCTCTTAATGATATTAACATGTGTACGTGTTATATTCCTCCTAGTGATTCGAACGTTTACAACAACGTTGCATCTAGTTTATATAACTTCGACTTTTTTGATCAGCTGTATAATGATATACGAAATATAAAATTTTGGGTGACATATACGTTACAGGTGATTTAAAAAATTCGAGGGACAGTGTCAACGACCTGATTTTGTAAAAATTATAAACTTAGACTGTTATGTTTTATATGTCTGAGGACTCAGATCCGTGTAATTTACCTGCACGAGTTTCGCAAGATGAGGTAGTCATTTAAATAGTTTTGGTTTAAAAATTACTATCGTTATGTAAAGAAAATAGCATTTATATTGTAAGTGGTCGTCTGCGAAAATGGTTTATTTACATGTTACAAGTATATAATCGTGGGCCGTTATGGCTCCTAGCGTTGTTGATTATTTGTTAACCACAAGTAGTAATTTTTCATTGATTTCTAACTTGGAAGTTAATGATTTAACTGAAATTTTCTGATCATGGTCCGATTGAATTTAGTTTACATTGTGGATAATATGGTTTTTGTATCAGTATGATGTGGTAACTTATGATAAAATTTTAATGGGAAGAAAATGATTAATAATTATTGTATAATACCCCTATGGAAAATAAACACATTTTTTGAAAAATATTATGCAATAAACTTGAGGCTGAGGAAAGCAAATATAAATTCGACTATTGATGATTCTATCTAAAGTTATTTTGATATATCTTTCAAGCTACATGGTAAAACTTTTAGCATGAAACAAAAAAAATAATGTCAAAAAGAAGTATCTCTGGTTTGATTCTAACTGTAAATATGGCTTTAAAAAATTCTTTTTTACTGTGACAAAAAAGCTTTTAAAGCTGTCCCGTCTGATATAAATAGAGCCAGATGTTTACATTTGGTAGAAAACATTATACTCATACTGAGAGTAAAGGCAAGAAGAGATTTTTGTTTACTGAAAAAGAAATCAAAATTTAAGGAACAAAACGCAACCCGCGTCAATTGTGGAAATATATAATAAATTTAAAAATAAAAGAAGGCAGATTCTTTCTGATATCAGCATTCATGAATTTTGCCGAAATTTTAAGAGTTTATCTAATTTAAATCAAAGTGATTCTGTGTTTTCATGATGAGACCCCTCTTCGTAAAGAAAAATTCATTATAATAAACTTGACTGTCATTTTAACTGTTGATGAGGTTTCTAGAGTAATTTAGTACTCTGAAATAGGCATAAAAGCTGTGATTATTGAATAAAAAATTTGCGATTTTATTTTTACTCTAAATCAGATTTTATTTCACCATGTTAAGTAGTTATTTTAAATAAATATCTTCGATTCAGGTATATTACCCGATGCTTGGAGTAAAAGACGTAATAATTCTATTTTTAAAACGGGAAAGATTAAGCTAATCCCTAGTAATTATAGGGAATCACTTTAAAATAAATGTTATAGCAAAAATATTTTCTTCCATTCTTCGAAATATAATTAACAAATGGTTGTGTGTGAATCTAATGCTGTTTTTAACGATTCACAATTTGGGCTTCATAAATACATGTACAAGTGATTGTATATTTTTATACATACATTGATTCAAAAAAAAATTAAAAAATAAAAATTATTTTCGTTTTTATAGATACTCGTTGTTCGTAAAGATTTGTGGATTAAATAATGTCGATCTTAATATTAGCTGTAAAATCATTACAATGTTGAAAGTATTATTTTATGTAAATGTTTAAGACATGCCGCCGTTTAATTGTCGTTCGAAACATGAATATGTCAGATTCTTTTGATGCAGTAATTGGTTTAAAACCCAAGGAGAACCACTCTCGACTTTACTATTTATTTTGTTCTTCAATGATATTAATAATTGTTTAGATTTAAATAATTTATCGGAGGGTGATTTGAACCAGTTCATCAATATGTATATGTTAATCTTTGCTGATGACATTGTTATATTTACGACGAATGCAGCCAGCTTGCAAGCCCAACTTGATTGTATTTATCAATACTCGATTAAAGGGGGCCTGGGGACTTTAAGATAAACAACAAAAATTCCAAAGTTTGTATTTTGAAAAGAGAAAACAATCTAATTCTTTTGAATAGTTATAAATGGTGAGAATTAGAAATTGTAGATCATTTTTGTTATTTAGTTGTAAATTTTATTTACACTGGGAATATGAAAAATGCTGTTAAGGTGCCCTCTGACCAAGCTCTTAAAGCATATAATTGCCTCTTGTCATTATTCACTAGAGTAAATCTTGATATCAAAACGAAACTTTCACTTTTGGACTCTATGGTTCTACCTATTTTATTGTACGCCTCGGAGATGATTTGGGGCATTTATAAATTTAAGGAAATAGATAAACTTCATATAAAATTTTGAAAACATATTCTTGGGGTCCGAACACAATCTTCAAATTTAGTTTTAGGTGAATTGGATTGTTTCCCTTTATCATTTTTAATGAAAGAGAGAGCATTGAAATACTGGATAAAAATTAAGTGAGTAATCAGCACATGCCTATGTATAAAATTTGTAGAGAGCAATGTAATTCCCAGAACGTAAATTCTTGGTCAAATAAAATTAAAAAAATACTTAATAGTCTAGGTTTCAGTAATATATTGTCTAATTTTGACTCTTCCTGTAGCTATTTTTGTATTTGGAAACAAAGACTACGCCATCAGTATATCCAAAACTGGCAAATAGAGATTCGTAATGTAGCTAAACTTGAATACAAGAAACAATTTAAAGTTGATTTTTGTTTTGAAAAATATCTAGATATTTTGACTATTAGTAAACAAATAGAGCTTTATACTAAATTTAGAATATCAGCACATAATCTCGAAAATGAAGTAGGTAGATATACTGGCATTGAAAGAGAAACTCGTATATGTAAACTTTGTTCATCACAATCCGGTGAATCTGAGTACCATTTTTTTATTATGCTGTAATAAACATTACGACCTACGACAAAAATATTTTGCAAATAATGCTTGGCCTTCAGTCCAAAAGTTCATTAATATTATGTCATCAAAACGTACAACTAGTATTGTAAAAAAATGCAAAGTTTTAAACAGAAGCTTATAAATTGAAAAGTTTAACCCTTGAAAATAATGCTGCTTCGTAGGACTTATTTCCTTTCCTTTGTGAGTTAAAAACTTTTTTAATGTTTAATATTTGGTGATTATTTATTATGTAAAGATTAAATGTGTAGTTATTTGTGTATCTTTTATGTATACTGTATGTCTTGACCATATGTATTAGTATGTGTAAATGGTCAAAGGCATTTATTATGCCGATTTGCTAATAAATGAAATGAAATTAAATCAAAGGCACATTATGCCTTAGAAATCAATGTCTTTTTAATGTTTTAAAAATATCAAATACATGTATGTGTTTAATATATTTTAAAAATGACTTAGAACATGTAAAATGTTTAACAAGTTAAGAATGTAGTGCTGATTAACAAGTTGAGAAAGTGCCGCTGACTGGGCAGTATATGTCGAAAAAGGAGCAAAATGTAAGCAAAGTACTATACAAAATACTTATTCACTAAAATTTAAAAATTAAACGAGACTTACCTTGGTTAAGTTGAAGTTTGATTTCAATTCTTTGAGTAAGAATTGAGTGAGGGGCTTAACTGAGATACGGTTGCGCATGCGCAGTTCACTCCTTAACAGTGTTTTTTCCCATTAGTAACAATTATAAGAATGTATTTTCTAAATTTAAATTCCTGTAGGGAGGGAGGGTGGCAGTTAAGCCCCTCACTCAATTCTTACTCAAAGAATTGAAATCAAAACTTCAACTTAACCAAGGTAAGTCTCGTTCAATTTTTAAATTCTTTTTCTCGAAAGAATTTCGTTTCGGGACTTACCTGAGACATTAAAGCCTAATGCGAAAAAAACACCTAGTCCTAGTGCCTCAAAACACCTTCTTGAAATGGGTCTCTCCCCGTGTTTATTGCCTTATCATAGAATTTAGCAAATGTGCTTTCTGACGACCAGCCAGCTTTCTCTAATATTACAGCAACAGGCACTCCAGAATTCTTTGCCTTGGATGCTGCTGCTGCTCTCACACTATGAGAACCATATTTCGCAATGTTTATTCCAGATCTATACATAACAGTTTTAATCCATCTAGAAATCGTGTCTTTTGTAACATTTTTATATGGTTTAACATAACTTAATAACAATTTCTTAGCATTATTGTCAATTCTAACATTACTTGTACGCGCCAAATACTCCTTCAGCACTGTATATATACAAAGTCTCCTATCTGGAGGATAAGCCTTAAATGAAATAAAATTAATGTTATGGTTTGGTCTGTTGTGCTTCAGCAGCCCATCAAATTTAAACACAAACTCTGATTTTAACTTCTTATAATCAGTATAACTAATTAATTGTAATGTCTGTACACGTGCAGCTTGAGTTAGGGCCATGAGCATCACCAGCTTCAATGTGAGATTTTTCAGTGAAAGATGTCTTACTGGTGAAAGCTTTTTCAAATAAATTAAAACTTTATTCACATCCCAAACTTCAGTATAACGTGATTTTGTTGGTCTGGCTGCAAATACACCTTTCATGAATCTTATTATTAAAGGATGATTTCCAATCCGAAATCCTTCAAATTGAATTCCAAAAGCAGATAGAGCACCACGAGCTGTATTAAGACTTTCATAACCCAGACCTTTGTTAAACTGATTTGTTAAAAATTCAACTACTTCCTCCAAAGTTGGCGAAACTGGAGTAATCTTCCTTTCAGTACAGTAGCGAAACCACCTGGTAATGTGTGTATTATACTGTTTTTTAGTACCTGATTTCCATGACAACATGAATATTCTGGTAGAGTCCTCTGAAAATCCACGTTTTCTGAAACTATCCCTGACACTTTGCAAACTATCAACCCGAGTCTGCCTTCGAGAGGATGAGACATTTGTTGAAGCGGTAATTTCAGCAAACCTTTCTTCTTTTGAATAATAACTGGCGTGTCTACCAATATGTCCATAAGCCTTGGAAACCAAGGTTGAGTTGTCCAAAGTGGAGCTATGATGATGCCCTTGGCCATATCTCTTCTCATTTTCTGCACGCATCTTCCTAACAGACTGAAAGGAGGATAAACATATACATTATTCACAATTTTCCAATCTATGTAAAACGCATCAACATCAATACAATCTGGATCAGGTTTCCAAGAGCAATAATTCTTTAATTGTGCATTTAACCTAGATGCAAAACAATCTAAATCTGGGGTACCCCACAAATCACAAATCTTATTAAAAATTTTCTCATCCAGTTTCCATTCCAGATTATCTTTAAATTTTCTAGAAGCCTGATCAGCCTCTAAATTTTCTTTGCCTGCAATATGTGCAGCAGTTAACCATATGTCATTAGCTATACACCAGGTCCAAATTTCAACAGCAATCTTATTACACTGTAAGGATACAGTTCCACCCATATTATTGATATAACTTACAGCTGTAGTATTATCCGACATTATTTTTACATGCTGGGAAACAACATGTTCTCGAAACGATCGTAATGCATAAAATATTGCTAACAATTCCAATACATTTATGTTAAGAAGCTTTTCTTCAACAAGCCATCTGCCGCCTGTTCTAATATCTTTATATTTAGCCCCCCATCCAAGAAACGAGGCATCCGTTTCAATAATGGTATTAGGGGTTGACCTATTTATTGATCGTGATTGTTGTCTCAAATTGTTAACCCACCAAGTAAGTTCAGTTCTCATTTTATCAGTCACTGGCATAAAAGCATTATAATTCCCAAAATTCTTCTTTAAATAAAATGTTTTTGCCAACTCTAATTGTCGATAATGCAGTTTCCCATAGTCTACTGCAGAAAAACTTGCAACTATCAAACCAATAACCTTTGCAACCTGCCTTATTGAAGCTACAGATTTATTACATAAGTTTTGACATTCCAAAACAATTTTATCTTGTCTTTCTTTAGGCAAAGTAACTACCATGCCTTCAGAATCAATTATGTTCCCTAAGTAAAGTAATTTTGTTGTTGGAATTAATACAGACTTTTCTTCATTTATAATGAATCCTACCTGTAACATTAAGTTAACAGTGGCTTTGATATTTTCTTCACATTCATTATAACTATCACCCAACAAAAAACTATCATCAATAAATCCAGAATTTACATAGCCCAAACTACGTAATCGTGCATATACTGGTTTCAAAAGTTTCGTAAACAGACGAGGGCCTTCACTAACGCCATTTGCTAAACAGGTATACTGGTAGATTTGTTTACGCCAAATGAAACAAAAACATTTTTGCTGTTCTTCAGCAATCTTTATAGAATAGTATGCATGACGAATGTCAACTGATCCCATTTTTACCCCTGGTGAAATTAATGTGAGAACTTTTTCAAAAGTGTCCATTTTAAAATGTTTATAAGGGATAAATGTGTTAACTTTTTTCAAATTCAAAATCAATCTGTATTCCCCGTTCTTTTTAGGGCGTAAAAATATTGGTGATAAAATTTGACCTTTCTCTGCCTCAACAGGCACTATTACTTTCAATTTTAGAAGCTTTTTGATTTCATTATCAATATGTTGACATTCAAAAGTATCAAATTTATACTGACAAGGAGAAAAATATTTTTGTCCAGAGTTATTAACTTGAAGATCAATATGACAATTTTTAACAATATCAAGAATTTGAGGGTCACTTGTTAAATTTTTCCATTCGTTAACAAAATTTGCAAGTCTACCTGCTTGAAAATAATCATTTACCTGCTCTACTGCTTGAATGGCAGCCGAGACCCCCGTCTCTGGTAGTTTTTTGAATCGGTAGATGTACCAACATTTGGATCCGACAAACCTCGGCCCCTCGGTCTCATACCTCGGCCATAACCGCCTCGGAAACGAAATCCTCTATTCAACATTCGGCGGGCAGGACCTCCTCGAAAAGGTCTACGATCAAACATCTTATTACTGATCTTGGAACAGTCCTCAATCTCCTTAGCCGACTTGGAGACATCGTCCCCAAATAAGAATTTTGTAAAAGGTCTAGATTGACTACAAAGATGAGTGTATTCCTTACTCATTTCAGGTCTAAGAAAGTCTTTCCTGGTCATATTAATTTGCTTATTCGCATGACCCAACAAAGCCAGGACATCATTACACTGCTCTATCAACGGACCAAGCTTCCCATCATTCTCCGAATCTAATTTGTCCAACTCATTGACTACTTTAACTAAGAGTGTACCACTTTTAATTACCGACTCTTCAATGTATTGAAGTTTCCTATCAGACGTTCTAGCATTCGGGGAAACCGCGTCCCATATTAACTGGTTCATTTTTACCACAGATAAAGCCTCACAGTTTTCAGGCCTAGCATTGAGTTCATCTTTTGTCAATTTATTATAATGATCCTCATCAAGTCCATTTAGAAATAAGTCATTTACAGTTGACGCTAACACAGAATCAACTTTCGAATCACAAGTTTCTGTGGTCTTAAAACGCTTTGCCATATTCTTAAATCTACTATTATTATTCTCATCATCATTTTTTTCTCTTACTCTGCTCAGGTTGATCATCATCCTGATGGAAATTGTCCACAGACTCATAATCATCATCATAATCATACTCTTCATAATATTGTTCATAATCGTCAACTTTACTTGCTAAACTGTTAATTTTTGTATTTTGTTCCTGCATTTGGCGATCAAACGAACTTTTCATAATTTCCAGAAGAGACAAAATTTTATCTTCAGAAGTTTTGCCCAAACTCGACGAGCTTGTACTTGCAGTTTTTTCGGGAACCTTTTCTGACGCTTTCTTCGGCGCTTTCCCTTTATTTGTTTTTTCATAACCGCTGCTTTCAGCAGCTTTTTTGTTCGCTTCTTTGGCATCCGCCATAATTTACGAAGATCACACCACGTGCGATCGAGAAAATTCGCCTCTCAACAACGATAAAAAACACAATAAATGTGAACTACGTCCACACACAATATAGAAATAGTTAGTTATTCGAATAAACTTCGAAATAAAACGAGTGATAAACTTATATCGATCTACGACCGATAAAACTTTTAATATTATACGAAACGTGTTTCACTGCGTGAAACGCAACCGGAAAAGTGAACTGCGCATGCGCAACCGTATCTCAGGTAAGTCCCGAAACGAAATTCTTTCGCGAAAAAGAATTATTATATTCACTATAACGCTATGAGTGCAAAAGACAGTCAACATATATGACAAATGAGCACTCCTTTAAAAACTGTAACGAGATACTAAAAATTTAGTTCTTGAGAAATAAAATTGTTAGCATTCTGGCGGCCTTTAAGCATTTCTTTATCTTGTTTGGCTGTTGTTGGTTTGTTTTTGTTTTATTGTTATGAATTAACGATTGTAGTTGCAGTTTAAGAGTTATAGATGCACGGTTAAATTAGTTTTGTCATAGTTAAACACGAACATTATCGTGCTTACTGACCTATAAGTGTATTATGTAATTGAAAAGTTGATAGATACGCCACTCGCGGAGGTCGTATTGCCCAGTCACCCAACCCTGCAAGTGTTGTTAGTCTTAAACAGTTTGATGTGACTTAAAATAGCCATTATTTTATCTACTATAAGATCAGCTAAAAATGTTAGAATATAACTGTTTTCAGTGGATTAGAAAAAGCAAATTTTTATCTTTATTGGCAGAAAAGCTTCTAGGTGTTGCTATCCGTAGATATCGACATGTTTATAATCAAGACAATAGTTAATTTTACAGGCTGTGAGCTTTCAAGATTGTAAGTACAGAGGTCCAGCTTCCGAAAATATAAAATGTTATTCAACGGTCTTACTAAAATGCGTCCCTAAGAAATTTAGCGTCCCGAAGCGTCCTGAAGCGTCCAGAAGCATTATTTTTAATTAAAACAGTCAGAAAGGTTATATTTATTGTAAATGAGCTATATTATTATGTATTGAGGTATTTATGGTAGCGAAAAAAACTGTTTTCCATACATAAAATTATCTATATAAAGCCCGAAGCCTTACGTCTATCCACGCATATTTCAAGTCGCTAACTGACTAACATAGTGCCGCAAACGTCTTATTGTTTTTATTTTAATCAAAGCAAAGATAAATCGTAATTAAGTTCTTTTATGATTTGTGTTAGTGACATAAAGAAGGAAGTAAACTTTTCATCCACACAAAATTATTATACAGTACGAAAACTGACGTTTCCCATATTGCGCTAACAAAGCGTCCCGAAGAAATTTAGCGTCCCGAAATGTCCTGAAGCATCCCGAGGCATTATTTTTAACTTAAACAGCCAGAAGGGTTATATTTATTGTGTTTTCTTCCTAAATCTATCATTAGCAATAATTCGGTATGAAAGTCATTTCATTCAAAATCAATTATATGCCAAACATGTAACATCATTCCCTAAATTTCTTTTGAACCCCTCGAAATCATATGAAGTTGAACCATCACTTCTTAAATTTATCAGGATTTTTTACACGAAACGTTTGATGTTATGATTAACGCTTTCTGATGACATTTACAAATCTAATAACAATCCGGACTATCTTAATGTTTCATGTACATTATCAACTTGGCAATGGAAATAGTAAATAACATCATATAGAGTCAATATTTTTCAAATTTCCTCTTGCCAACCAGAAAAACTATATACCTCAGCATGGAAACAGCAAGCACTGCTGTAGTGTGAGACTTGTCTTTGATGTCAAATGAGATAATTTCCTGAATGAAGACAAAACAATTTTTTTCTATAATGTTCTTCATTCATCGGCTTCAAATCAGTACACACATGACTTCGATTAAATGCAATAATAAGAATTTTATTTTGAAGCAGTGATGAAGGCAAACAAGTTTAAAGTAGAGATAAATGTTTTTGTAATGAATAATATCTTAATATTTGTCATTCTTATGAATGATTTATGGATCTATTTTCCAAATTAGATACACATTTTGAGAAACAATGTGTGAGACAGAAAAGCTTCACATGATTATGAAGGATGAAACCATATACTCACATTTCAAATATCTAAAACTATAACAACTCCAGAAATTGTTTTTGCATCATTGCTTTACTTGATGATATACAGGAAATAAACTAAACACGTAAATCAGTATGATTTTATTAATCAATAATCGTTTTTATATCGGTATTCTAGAATATTCACATTTTTAACTAAAATCTCAATTTCCGATTCGAACGAAGCATCACTAACGTTATATTATTCCATATAACTTGTTTTGCTTTTTTTTAAAAGCCGTCTGGTGTTTGTCGTTTGTTATTAATAGAATAAATTATCAGCAAAACTCAGAGAAATCTCAGCAGATGTTATTTAAGCGGCGGTAATAGATATGTCGTATCAATGTTATATTGTATTACAAATCCTGTCATTTAAATAATATAATCAGAAGGAACAATTTTAGATCATTCTGCCAGCGTTAAAGGGCCTTGTACATAGGTAAAACATCGTGATATTTAGGTTAGATAATACTTCTATTGTTGAGATAAATATTAACGTGTTTGTCAATTACAATGTATATTCTTTTATTCACATTTAACAATACAAAATTCATTCTAGCAATCATTTGTGTTGAAAACAATCGTGTTGTTGCTGCAGTCCGATTATATTTCTTTGCAGGAGGAAATAAACTTCGTACATACAAAACTTAAACTTATTTTGAAACAGAACATTATGTTAAAACTGTTTTATAGACTTAAGAGACTGAAGAATCGTTCCAAATGGTTGAAGTTGAATAGATCCAAGGTATTGAACTAGGAAGAACAAAGTCGTTAACACTGTAGGAATAAAGAGGATGAAATACCTGTTTTGTTACATTGTTCTCTTTACGATTCAAGTAGATTATAGTTATTGCAATCAACAAATAACTAGACTTTGCAATAATTGCTATTGCAATTGAATATTGATAAGGTCGAGTACATATTTTCTGAAACAGACATAGCAGTTTAGATTGCCAAAAACCTGTAAAAATATATTGAATAAAAGAAAACTAGTTCTATATCATTAGTAACCATTCATAAACCCTGTCTTGTATATGATTATATAAAATACTGAATTGTATTTTTAATGCTATAACAATTACTTAAGTACTAATGTTTTCTTGTTTATCAAAATGTGTTCTGATCTGATTGAACACGTATCAATATTTTCCACCCATTTTAAGACTGTGGAGCATTTTGCCGAATTATTATATTTATATTTCAATGCTTCAACATCGTTTTCTAAGGCAGTTTTTTATTCACCGATTAACAAGGATACTTAAGTTTAAACCTTTAACATATGCATATAAAGAGACATAAGAAATATAAGTAATGTGATGTTTCTGTTATATGAAAGAGAAATACGTGTATAAGTGTTTAGCTAAATATGTGATATTAACGAGCAATACACTTATAAGTATTGTGCTAATTCTATTATATTAAAGAGCATTATGTTATGTTAACGAGAAATAGACGTATAATTATTGTGCTAATTTGTTATATTAAAGAGAAATACATGTATAAGTACTGTGCTTATTCTGTTATAATATTATAACATTTAATGCATGTGTAAGTACCGTTAAATATTTTTGTTTCCTGTGATCCCTATGCATGTTATATTGATAAAAATCTCTTATATTTTGTTTTTAATTGGCAATGTTTTTCATCAAATATTGATCAATTTAACGTTATTATTACTCTCCATATTGCTCATGCCAAAACGTCTTGTATTTTGATATTTATGATTATTTTACAACAAAGAAGCATATTCATATTTGATTAACAAGTATTTTTCTTTTAATTAACTATCCGACAGTTTATTTTCATGAATATATGTGTAATCATAAGCTACAGAAAAATGTCCTTGTTAAAGAAATAATATTATTACTGTAAACGTATATTTTGGTGTAAATGTCTACGAGTATATTCACGAAGCATATTTTTAAATATGTGAATGTCAATATTTTTTAAAACTGAACAATATAAACAACAATCAAGTGTGTTTTCAGTGAATTTAGCTGTAAATGTTACTGGAGTATACAAATAAAAGATAAGGTTTAACTGAGACGACTTTAAATTCATACTTCGTATTGACACCGTTTCTTTTGCTCGTTAACCATTTCAGTCTCGTAGCAATTACAAAAGTAAACAAAATGTAAAATAAAGTTGATATTTTCAAAGTGACAAACAGAATCACTCGCTGTCTCAGCATTAAAACAGCTCGTACTTGTGTGAGACTTGTCTTTGGTGTTGAACAAGATAATTTCCTGTATAATGACAATTGTGTCAATTAAGAATATGCATTGTCTACGAATAAGTACCACATACTATCGATTACATGAAATAATGAAAATATTTGGTTGAAGTAAAAACAAAGGTAAAACAAAGTTTAATAATGGAAGGCGGTTGTATTCATATTGAACAATAAATTGTTTCATATTTCCTGGAATCGTCTATTGATCTATATTTGTAATGTTATGGCACATTTTAAGAAACAATATGTAAGATAGAAAAAATTAACAGATATATAAAATAAAACTATATTCTTGCATTTCTAATCTTAATATTGAAAGTTTGCATTTAAACTTATTGTGTCGGCCATTGCAATATTTCATGCTGAAAATATTATCTAACCGCGTCAGCACTCTGTTTAGATTTAAAGATAAGCTTTTTAATAGGTGATGAAGAACACATACATTTATCTCTTATTTCCCGCTTTTAAGAATGTATAATCATGGTTATATATTGTTTAAGAAAACTTGTTTTTGGAAAGAAACAGACTTCTGGTGTTTGACGTTTATTATTGATTGAATAGTATTATCAGCTAAACTCATAGAAAATCTCAGTAAATGTTGTTTAAGCGGTAATAGATATGTCGGATCAATGCTGTATTGCATTATTTACAAATCCTGTCATTTAAATAAAGGAAATAGAAGGAAAAATGACAGATCATTATGTTTATGTCAAAAGGGTGCAGTATATTTAAAGAATTTGCGGAGAACCGTCTTTAGAACTAGTTAGACAATATTTATTCTATAATTCAGATTTAACCATACAGAATCGTTGCAATCATTTGTCAATATTAAATACCACTTAAGTGCAGCACGTAAAAGCTTCTTACACGAATATCACTTTACCTTACCTTAAACTACCGGTAACGCAAACATACACTATTATATGA